TTATTAACCGCTTCCGCAAGTGGGTTTGATTGTTATTAATATGTTAGCAACAATTTTTCCCCAACAATTTGGTATCAGACGCTTTGGTTAAGTTCTTGGTGATTCTTAAGGTGGTTTGGGTTTGTTGTAGACAAAGTGTTTGAAGAAAATCATAAGTGAGTTTTGGGTTGTAGATAAGGTGTTTGTTGATATTCCCAAAAGAGGTTCTTGGGGTTGTTTGTTGCTAGATGGAGTTCTAAAGGTAGTGTTGCACATGTGAGTAAGTATGGAGTAGAGAAACACACGACGATATTAAAAAAAAAAATGGTGATATGTTACAATGGTGGTGTGAATGAGCAAATTGTTGGGGGAAAATTATTGCTAACATATTAATAACAATCAAACCCACTTGCGGAAGCGGTTAATAACATGAGAAATTATTTCCAAGGTGGAACCTTTAGTGTAGACACTATTGAAGATGGCTAGAAACAACTAAATCAAGTAGATATAAGCACAAATCTATGAAGTATATAAAGAGATTAAACATACCACATCACCACAACGCAAGATATACGTGGTTCGGCGTTAGCCTACATCCACGGGGCAAAAGAGAGGTGTTCTACTAGTGAAAGATAAAAGAGGTTACAATTGACTCACACTCAATCTCATAACAAAGATAGATCTCACCTTGCAAATCACTCACAAGGCTTCAAAGAACTAATCTCTCTTTTCTCTCTTCTTGTTCCTCACACAAAGAATCTCTCCTTGTTGAACACACTAGATCTCACACACTTGGATTCACTCCACCAAACTTCTCCAAAAGAATCTCTCTAATGAAGACTAAGGTCTCTCTCTCTCTACCTCCCTTAATGCCTTAGGGTTTTTCAAGCCAAGGGTTTCTCTTATCTCTCTTTGCTTTTATAGTTCAAGCTTACATGGGAGAAATACACAAATGGGCCCAAAACTCAAATGGGCACCCAAACAACACTAAACTATCAACCCTGGCCCAATGTATAACCCAGAATTTAAGCAATCAAACCATACAGGAGATGTCAAAAACATACAATTGAAAAGAAAAACTCTTGCAATCGTCACAACTAATACATATATTCCATTCTACCAACGTGAATTTCAATGCATAATAGTAGCCAACAACATGTGATTGAAATCAGACGAAAGGGGAAGCATAGCTACCAACGCCTCCTGTGCCTCCAATGACAAGTACAAGCTTAGAAGATGAAGGAGTGGTTTCAGAATCCCGAGTCTCCTCAGAATTTGAAGTTTGAACTTGTTCTTGCTTCACTACATTTCTAACGACGGAAGATCTTCCATTTGAACATGAAATGCTTTTAGCACCCACAACCAGTGGAATTCAATGAAGGGAGAAAAAGAACATGAGAGGTCCTCTGATGGGTTGTTGAGATTCTTCCAACTGAAAAGGAAAAATCACTGATCGAACTCAGCGAAAGCTTTGAAGTATGTACAGAGAAGAAATATGGATAAGTTGGATTCACTGAGAAATATGTAAAGGGGTAGTATCGGTATTAAAAAAAAAGGCTTTGGGTATAAAAAACCGGTCATGTCCTTGGGCCTAACCATCTTTCTTGTCCTTGGGCCTAACCATCTTTCTTGTCCTTTAAACATATCCAACCTTTTGTCCTTTTGGCTAAGACGGATTTGGAGATGTCCTGCAGTCCAAACCGAATCAAAATCTGGCATCTGGGCCCAATTTTTAGTTGATTGATTCTATAAAGGTTGAAATTCGAGGATGAAAGGTGAATTTGTTTGTGCCTCCTATTAGTTTGATTATTTCTTGGAGGTTTAGATTGCATGATAAACAAACACACCAGTGGATTGAAAATGTTGCGACGGTTGGACTGTAACATAAGCACAATTTCTTTTTACCTTATATTTGGCTGTAAATTTTGAACAGAAGGTAACTGTATTCTCTTTCTCCCATTCCCTCTATTCTCTTTCATTGAAGATTTGAAGTCTCATATCATGAGCTTCAAACCAAAGGATTTCCAACACTTCTCAAAGCAGGTGGTATAGAGCTTGGAACTAGAGAATAAGAATATTTTGACAGTCTTTTAACTTTCTAGCTTCAAGAAAAACCTTATACAGTATTACAAGGAATTAGCTTCAAAATCTAAATAGTAAATACTACTATAATTAAGAAAAACTATGAAGACTTTACAATTTAACAGTATACAACAGTGGCCTAAACCAAATAAACCTAGCAAAATCTTGTGAACTTGCAGAGATGTACATAAAACTAATGTCATCATAGTATGAAGTATGAACATCTCCAGCTCTGTTGATCAGAAATAAGTCTACACAAAGATACAACATACAAAACCTAGAAGTTAAGACAAAACTGACTTACTTTTACATACGCCAACCTTGTCACCAGTATGAAGCAAACCATAAAACCGTCTGTGACAAAAGCTGATCACCTTTAAGCGTCCATCTACAGTTCTACGCTAAGTTGCCGTAATGAAGCCTTTTGTAAGGAAGTGGTGATTTACAACGGACTTGATTGTAAAATACATTTGAGAGGATAAAGGTGGGTCAAAATTTCTTCAATCACAGCCCGAGTTCTACAATTGCAAGTGCAATTGCCTTTCTAAGCGTGCTGTGCAGCATAACTTCAGGCTTCAATCGGTTTTGTTGGTAAGGCTGGATCCACTTGCTCTGCTACTAGTTGGGAAGGCGCTTGATCTTTTGCAGGCACGAGGGAATCCACTTGATGTTTTGCAGTCGGGGTAGGATGCACTTGAATATTGCTAGATTCATTACTTCCATATTCTGATAGGAGATTTATGAACTCATTTAGTAACCGTTGGACTTTCCTGTTTGATGCCATAGCTGGAAGGATATCTTCCCTTAGGAGTTTGTGCTTATCCATTCCCTGCATAGACAAATTTGTTTTCGGCTCAGATAGGTAACTAGATAGATCAGCAAAAAAGAGTGAAAGTAATAGGTAGAAAATACTAATAATAATAATAAAATAATAACAGAAGAGCCTAAAGTTTCTATAATATATGCGCAGAGCAACAGATGAACCAAACAGTTTTATACCTACAGAGTTATTACACTGTTAAAAAGGGAAATCTAACTAAACGACGGCTAACTAAACGACAGCTGAGATAGCAGAATGCAAATCGAGAAAAGCATGGTTCAAGTTACTTCAAGCATGTAGAATGGAAAATGGGTGCAAAAGCCTCACCAATACACATGGGTCCCATGTCAGTTTTGTGAGATCTGAATAAGTTGCCTCAACCATCCCTACCGGAGGCCCAAGAAAGCTCTCACATACTTCTCGTAAGCGAGATTCATCTGCTTCTCTGTAAGTAAAAAAGAAGTAATTCAAAATTCAATAGTTGGAGGCTTAGCTGTGACCAGTACATGACTCATGATACTGTTTGATTGTTCACAAATCTGACAAAGGAAACCCACAAAGTGGCTGCTACTTTTCAAAACGTTAGTCTTCAGTCTTCACCCACTATTTTCTTCTCATTGTTATTTGTTGTAACTTCACAGGAATTCGCTATGGGTGCCAACATATTCTCAAGAGAAACTGATGTAGCATTAAAAGTTGTACACAAAAATTTATATTTGTAGTTGAAACATCTTAAAAATAAAAGGTTATTCATGTGACACCTCATGAGTCAGAGATCTGTGTTTGGTTCATGGAATAAGGAGGGAACTGCAGTTCCCTGAATTCACTGATTCAGTATACTACTAAAAATGAACTTATTTTTGAAGCAAAGTCAGACTTGAACCTAAGGAAACATCAGCTTCTGCCAGAATTTACTTTCCCAGTATCTCTGGTTTACCACACAACATGATTCAGTAAACAAAAACAAACACAGAAGATATACCAAAAGGATTTATGCAATAAAAACTGGAAGTTACAAACCTTGCTAGAAATCGTATATAGGAAAGGAGGCATTGACGGTATTCATTAGGGGACTGCAGGGCCAATGAAGATGCCAACTGGGATTCCAAATGAGCACGGGTCTGCACCTCATCATTAGTCACCCTGCCAATTATCATCACATAACTGGGATTGCATGCTGTGCTACAAATGACAGAAAAAATCATACCAAATCTGAAAATTGTCAGGAAATTAATCATACCTATTCCAACTTGGCTTTCTAGCAAGATATTTCGCAACGTCCACCTGCAAAGCAGCCAGCTCACCGCTCCGAATTGATCCTGAATTCCAGGAGCTAGCAAAACTTGATGCAGGGAAGCAATCATCAGCAATCCTCATCCAACACTTCAAGCTCATGTCAAAAAGGAATGCATGGCGAGTAGCCAAAATAACAAGAGGCGACCCAGATTTTGAGAACCTTGCAGATATTACTTGCATTGTGCCTGAAAATAAAGCAATGTAGACCGTACATTTGACTAATATAAGGCTCAGCATGCTATGAATTTGAGTGAAATCCAGCAAATGTAGACCAATAATCACAGCTTAAGTGAATGAAGAAATTACCCCCCAATAGGCTAAAATTTAAGTATCAAGTAATCTTCCAGTCAGAACTATACCTGAATCTTTGGCTGATAATTCATGCCCACTAGTAACCAAAGAATCCAGTGAATCATGCAAGAGACAAGTATTGTTGAAAAGATCCCATACATATACGGATCCCTTCCTTGTGACGAGAAGAAGCTTCCAACACTCATCACAATCTATAAATATTGCTGCAGACCCCAGCATCATGGTTGGCATGGCCCGTCTTCCACACTTTGTGTAAACCTTCAAGGTGTAAAGAAACTAATAAGATGTCTGTCCTCTCCAGCTTGTAAACACTTCTATATGTACATTGAGGGGAAAGGAAGATCATTCACAAGAATCTTCAATTTCAAACCATATAAACAAGGATAGTTATATACCCTTATTTTTTTGGAATTGACTTCTGATTGGGTTAGTAAGTTCCAAAATTTTTGGGTGGGATACAAATTATTGATTTTTATGATGAGGATATCATTATCAACAAGCTGTATGATAATCCACAACTGCGATTGGATTTGAACCTACGACATCGGGTTTTGGAGACCCTCGTTCTACCGAACTGAACTAAGAGCGCTTTCTTATCTTATCACAATATCTTATCACAATATAAAATACCGTTAAATATATAAATAAAGGAATTTCTTTTGTAACCCCTACCATATCTTGCATGCATATAGTATCATAAAGGAT